AGCAAGCGAAGCTGATCCGGTCGCTCCCACAAAATGGAGAGGTAAGGGGAACCGCATGCGATTCGCGCTCTCCCATTTGAAGACCGTGAATAATGAACCTGACTGATCCCAAAGGAAAAACCACTTTTTAAAGGCGAGAAGATGAAGCCATTTTTCGAGGTCTTTCTGGTTGTTACACGGGACATTTCTCTAACGTAGCACTAGTGAGTGTACTGCCCGTCCGCTGCGGTTGTAGCAACTGCCTCCAGTTGCTCCAGTGGAGGATCCACGTCGCTGTCAACGTCAGAGGGAATGTCCACAACCTGTGGTAGCTGAATGACCTCGCGAGGAACACGGCGGGCTCGCCCACGAGGAACATCAGCAACGCGGCGTACGTACTCAGCTGATATAGCCTTGATCACCGTCACAAATGTCGCCATTGAAGGATGCGGGGTTGGGAAACGTGTATTAAGCTCCCTGTTAAACCTCTCCAGGGGATTATTCGTTCGTGCGACCAACTCGTTGTTCATGCCGAATACGTTCCAGACATCGATGGTATACTGCTCCAGCCAAGTGCGGTTGAAATACCCCCAAAAATCGGCCCATTTTTCAGTAGAGTAGGTCACGCCAGCTTGAGCACAGCGCAACTTGATCTCACGCTTTACCCACTTAATACCTCGCTCGATGTGAGCAGGATCAATCACCGTCAGGGTGTCTAGGACACCACGTGTCATTGCAATCAGACACTCTTCCTCCGGAATAGCATAGCGCTTCATAGCCCGTCGGAGTGCTTGTTTCAGATGAAACAAGCACCCCAACACAATTGCGTTCGGAAACTGTGTTTGTAGTGCGTCCAACAGTGGCGCTTCGAAGTCACAAACAATTTCGGCCGGTTCGAGTTGCTGGTCCGTTGATTGTACGATAAAATGAATCATATCCCAGTAGGCGTCGCCAGTACGCGAGGTGCTCAGAATGTAGAACACCGGCACGAACACTCCAGAGGCTCGGTCGTGGACCATGAACACAACGCACTGTGCGTAACCCGGCGGGACACACCGAAAAGTGCCATCCACAAACAACGTGGTACCATGATAGCGTAGTAGCGCGACCAGAGATGGATGCGCCCACCCAAGCAAGCGGGAAGGCTTGTTCAAATCGTTGCGGTTAATGGTGACGTAGTGAAACTGGAAAAAGGAAAGCTCCTCGTCTAGTGCCAATGAAAGCGGAGGAATTTCAATAGAGCCGTGAACATTGCTAGAGTAATGCGCGCTTCTTGCTCGGTGTACTCGTCGGACAACTTGTTGCTCTGACAACCCACGAACAACGTTGGGATTGTCAGCTGAGTAGAACTGGCGTCGCAATTCTTCCCACACTTGGCGCACAGGCCAAGCGACGTGCTCAATCGCAAGAAGGTCGGCTTGAGCTTTCATCTGGTCCTCAACGTTGATGACGACGTTGGCAATGGCTTCGATGCGGCATGTGTGCAGCTTTACAGCAGCATACGCCATCGATGCAATAGTAAACTCCAGCTTTCCTCTGCAACCTTGGCGAAACTTAGAGCATCTGTACACAATTTTCCTTGAGGACGACCATGCCTTGCAGTACTTATAGCCCTTGTAGAAGCATGTCGTCCGCTCACCACGTCGTGGCACAGACCCCACATCATTTGCGAGTTGCTGTCGAGCTTGCTCGAACAGCAACTCAGTGCTAACGACGTCCTCGACCGGCTCAGCTGGCTCCACTCCGCCATCCTCCGGCGCGCCCTCAGCCGGCTCAGCAGGCTCCACCTCGGCATCCACCGACGCGCTCTCGTTTGCCTCTCGATTCATCTTCTCCACTGACCAACGCACGAGCAGCCTCGAGGCTGAAGAAGTGCGTGAACTTACCAATCATTTTCAGATCCCCATGTCAGATCTCCAGTGAGATAAATATCTGATCTAGAATCTGATCAGTTCCGTATACGTAACCTTTTTCGGAGCTAACCGGCTGGGTCTTCCAAACCCTGGGTGGCGATAAGGGAAAATATGGGGCTGGGTCCGCCCAACATTTCCGGTGGGAAATTCAGGGACAAATTGGACTTGGGCCCATCGGCCTCCC